CACACCCGAGCATGCTCCGACCTGTGGGGGGGCGCACTACCGAGCATGCTCAGACCTGTGGGGGGGGGGGGGCACTACCGAGCATGACCTGGAGACAAAAGGGGGGGGGGCTAGCTAACTTCTCCCATTACGATCACAAACCCTCCGGACTAGTAACGGTTCAGGAGGTTCAGGTGGAGGTAACGTAGTTTAGAGTTAATAAACTTATTCAGACTATTTACCTGAGGAGGAGAATACAAGATGGAGCGTAGTTAGAGCTGTGAGCTCAACAACAGATATTTGTTCTTCCTTTAACGTGTTATTACGTATTTAGTTTTAATTATTAATATTATACAATTCATTTATGAGCATCAGATGATGAAACAATTCTTTTCATGACGTTTAACTTTCTCTATTTTTCTTCTTCTAGGAAAGTTACCAGATGCTGTGAACTTCTGGCTAGGAGAGGAGAGCGCTGTAACTTCCAGTAAGACCTGAACACAAGTGTTTAACGTGTGTGTGTGTTTGTGTAATGTTTGGGTTCAACATGTGTTTGTTTGTGTGTTTAGTGCACAAAGACCACTATGAGAACCTCTACTGTGTGATCTCTGGAGAGAAGACCTTCCTCCTCCTCCCCCCGACTGATCGACCCTTCATCCCCTACGGTAATGTCTGTTATTCACGTCACTGAGACACAGACAGGGAGACTAGTATAGCGGATGGATGGAAGTCAAAGAAGCTGCTCATCAACGACAAAAAAAACAACACATTTGGCGAGCCAGCCAGGAGGAGGACTCAACGGGGACCTTTCCTCTCTCACAGACTGAACTTGAGCTCATTGGTGGTGTTGGGTTAGTTTAGTATGTTCTGCATTGGTGGAGTCTGTCTGTGAAGGTGTGACATGTTCCCCGGGACGTCCTCAGACTGTAAGATAGGAACTTGTATTCAGTAACCATAGCAACGCCTCTCCCCTCAGGTGTGTATCAGCCGGCTGTTTATCATCAGAGAGAAGACGGTGAGTTTGAGGTCGTGGATCAAAGCGACTCTGAGAAGGTGCGTTCAGGTGTCTGCCAGTTAATCTCAGTGCTCTCCGTTCTGTTTAAAACCTGCAGTTCACCCTGACCCCCCCCCCCCCCCCCAGGTCCCGTGGATCCCCCTGGACCCCCTGGACCCAGACCTGGACCGGTACCCTGAGTACCGGAAAGCTCGGCCACTCCACTGCAGCGTGAAGGCCGGAGAGATGTTGTACCTCCCGTCACTGTGGTTCCACCACGTCCAGCAGTCTCATGGCTGCATCGCAGGTACCCGAACGCACCGCGGCTGCCCGAACGCGGCGCTGCCCGAACGCGGCGCTGCCCGAACGCGGCGCTGCCCGAACGCGGCGCTGCCCGAACGCGGCGCTGCCCGAACGCGGCGCTGCCCGAACGCGGCGCTGCCCGAACGCGGCGCCAGGGTTAGGCTGCCCGAACGCGGCGCCAGGGTTAGGCTGCCCAAACGCGGCGCCAGGGTTAGGCTGCCCAAACGCGGCGCCAGGGTTAGGCTGCCCAAACGCGGCGCCAGGGTTAGGCTGCCCAAACGCGGCGCCAGGGTTAGGCTGCCCAAACGCGGCGCCAGGGTTAGGCTGCCCAAACGCGGCGCCAGGGTTAGGCTGCCCAAACGCGGCGCCAGGGTTAGGCTGCCCAAACGCACCACACTGTCTACACTTGTTTAGTACTCACTTTTCTACACAATAAAAAAAAAAGAAACTAAATAAATAAATCAACCGGCTGCTCATCTGTGACTCTCGGTGACATCATCAGTTAGAAGTAAATAAACGACATCATCAGAAGTTGAGGTGTGACTCTGTTTGTCTTTGCAGTGAACTTCTGGTACGACATGGAGTACGACATCAAGTACAACTACTTCCAGCTGCTGGAGGGTCTGTGTGATGTCACGGGGTCCACAATGACATCACAGCAGCACGACGTCATCGGTGAAACAAGGACTGAGCGATCTAAAGATTTAAAATGTGGACAGAAAATAAAGTTTCCTTAAGAACGTGAAATGAGTCGAATCTGTTTGAACAAGAAGAACTGACGAGAAAGCACTTTATTAAAGCAACACGAAGGAAAACAGCCTTAAAAACAGAACTCTCTGTTGCTCTGCTTTATATATAATCTGTAATATTGCAGCATCTCCACCACTCAAGGCCACGTTAAGAACAAGAAGAACTGATGATTATTGATCGTTCATATTTCCTTTAAACTCTTTATGATTTATGTACAAGTGTAAACAGCGTTAATGTGGATTCTTCTTCTCCCGAAGAGCCGCCTCTTCACAGACGATGATCTGACTCTTCATCGTGATGAAGATGAAGAATCTGATCTGTGATCAAAGAGTCAACAGGTGACGTGATGGGACGAAGAGGAGGAGGAAGAAGAGGGAGAAGAGGAGGAGGAGGAGGTCCTGTCTGAGACTCCTCCTCTGGTTCAGATCATGTGACGGAGCTGTGAGGAGCCCGAAGTTCACCTTTAAACACAACTCTGACTTGCTGTTGCATGATGGGAGCTGTAGTCTCTCAGTCGTCATGGCGACCCCTCCTGTAAACGTCGATGCTGTGAAACGCCGGTACCCAGCGGTTGTCATGGAGACCCACATTGCAGCCGGGCGCGTCCCTGCGGGCGGCGTGGCAACACATCCAGTACCAGAGTCCGTAGGGCAGCGCCCGGCAGAACGGTTTGTGGTGCCACCGGCAGAGAGACACGTCACCGCGGACGAACCGACGCTTACACTGTTTACATGGGTCATCGCGGTAACGGGGGTCAGACACCCACAGAGAGTCAGAGGGACGAACGCCGTAATCCTCGATGACCGAGAGGAAGAACCGGCAGCTGCACTTGAGCGCCGCGAGGCTGAGCGTGGGCAGCAGGGTCAGGATGTTCAGCAGCAGGTGGTGAGGCAGCGCAGAGAGGAACGGACGAGGCTCCAGAAGCTGCTGCAGCCGCCAACGCATCAACAGGAAGTCATGTGACACACGCCGGACCAGAGGAACGATGACCTCATCTTCATGTGACACACGCCGGACCAGAGGAACGATGACCTCATCTTCATGTGACACACGCCGGACCAGAGGAACGATGACCTCATCCTCCTGAGCTCGGTCGGCCCGGTCGGCCCGCCTCCTCCTCCTCCTCCTCCTCCTCCTCCTCACCTCCGATTGGCTGACAGAGTCACAGCGAGCTGGAGTGGGGTGGGGCTGAGAGGCGGGAGGCCAAGACAAAAACAACAAGCCCGGCAGAGGCTCCGCCCCCTGGGCCTCACCTGAGGGGGGCGTGGTCAGAGCTGGTTCAGAGTAGCTGGTTGGCTCCCGGCCCAAAATCTGAGCTACCGGCAGTGATGGGGATGAAGGCCGACAGGGGGCGGGGCTCTGGTCCCCGGCGGTGAGCAGCACGCGTGCCACCGTCCTCAGGCTGTTGCTCCTCGACAGATCTCCCTCCGTCCTCTTCAGACACTCGGACTCCAGCTTGGCCACCATGTCCGACACTCTGATGCTCTCTGGCTCCTCCCCCCGGACCTCGGGGGGCGGGGCTCTGGACAGCGTGATGGTAGTGGAGCTCCTCTGGAGGGCGACCACAGGTTTGGAGTCGGGCTGCTGCTCGCTGGCTCTCTGCTCCAGGAACGCCACCATCTCCACCACTGACAGCGTCTGCTCCTCTGTCACCAGCTCACCGCCCGAGTGCCGTGGAGACGGTCGCTGTGCGTCCTGGATCCGAGTCCTCGAGTCCTTCTGGAGGTTCTGGTTGCTTCCCGACCTGCGGCGCCGTTTGGCGCTGCAGTTTTCCTCCCAGCTTCCCTTTGCCTTCCCGGCCCGCGACAGTCCCGACACGGCACCGTGGTTCGGACACACAGACGGCGTCCCGTCGGAGTCACCGGTTGAGGTGCGCTCGCTGCTGGCGCCGTCGTCTGTGCGCTCGGCATCTGAAGCAAAGATGGCGATCTTCTCCCGGACGTGTCCAGGCCGGATCACAGTCCAGACGTCCAGCGGGGCGTCGGCGTCCTCCACGGCGGTCTGGTGCAGTCGGAGAGCGTTGTCCTCGCAGACCGGTGACGGTGAACGAGGCTGCGAGGCAGCGCTCGGCAAGGCTTTAGGGCGGAGCTTGTTGGTGGAGATGATGCCCAGCGGGAGGCGGCTGATGATGTGGTTGTTGCCATGGTTACTGCTGCAGGTCCTCACAAACAGGCTGCTGCATGGGGACATCTCCAAACGCAACTCTGAGCGAAGCAGCTTAGGATACGACTTCAGGTGCATGATGGTCCCTGAGAGAGAGAACGAGAAAGGACAGAGAGAGAGAGAGAGAGAGAGAGAGAGAGAGAGAGAGAGAGAGAGAGAACGAGAAAGGACAGAGAGAGAGAGAGAGAACGAGAGAGAACGAGAGAGAGGACAGAGAGAGCGAGAGAGAGGACAGAGAGAGCGAGAGAGAGAGCGAGAGAGAGATGTCAATCAGGATTTTCTGTCTCCACCTAAATGAAACAAACAGGTTTAACTTGATTAAATGAAAACTAGAAGTTGAGTTTAATGTTCAGAAACACATGTTGGCTCGTCATGATGAACACAGTTCAGTTTGGAACGCCCCCACAAACCTGTTTCTGCTTTAATGTTTCTATTAAGAGCCCGTTCACACCTTGTTTCATTAAAGCTACAGCTGAAGATCAGAAACAAGAAAAACAACTCAACAAAATGAGTCACGGTAGAATACGAGGAGAGCAAATGTTTCACTGACTTTAACTAACTTTAGAAACAAACACTTCAGTAGTTTTCAGAAACCAAACCAATCAGTGTCGAGTATCAGGAGACAGAGGACGACCACAAGGAGGCGCACCAACAGAACGGAGAGGAAGACCACAACGAGGCGCACCAACAGGACGTAGAGGACTTCAGATGTAATCCTCATGTTCTCTCTGCAGCTCCTTTAAACACTTACAGAATATACATACAGAATATATGTACTGTATATACATATATTCTGTACATATAGGTCAGCCCTCCACACATTGAGTCAGTGAGACCAAACCAAAGCTAACTACTCCTCCAGCAGTAACCAGTGCTAACTAGTCCAGCAGTAATAGTCCTCCAGCAGTAACCCGTGCCAACTAGTCCTCCAGCAATGACCCGTGCCAACTAGTCCTCCAGCAATGACCCGTGCCAACTAGTCCTCCAGCAATGACCCGTGCCAACTAGTCCTCCAGCAATAACCAGTGCCAACTAGTCCTCCAGCAATAACCAGTGCCAACTAGTCCTCCAGCAATAACCAGTGCCAACTAGTCCTCCAGCAGTAACCAGTGCCAACTAGTCCTCCAGCAATAACCTGTGCCAACTAGTCCTCCAGCAATGACCTGTGCCAACTAGTCCTCCAGCAATGACCTGTGCCAACTAGTCCTCCAGCAATGACCTGTGCCAACTAGTCCTCCAGCAGTAACCAGTGCCAATTAGTCCAACAGTAACTGGTGCTAACTAGTCCAGCAGTAACCAGTGCTAAATAGCTCTACTACCGACCAGCTGCAGACAGACAGTCAGCTAGCTAACAACAGTTAGCAGTCCCGGCTAACACACTGAAAACAACCTGTAACAGAAGCTCACTGCAGAGACAAGTCGACCAACTTTGCCAGCATGCTACCTAGCATGCTAGTAGCCGCGGCCGTCTGAAGCCATGATACACCTGGCTAACTGGCTAGCATCCGTGGCTAACTAATGCAGATCTAGTAAAATATATTCTAGAAGAAACGTGAGCACGTTCACGTTGGTTTGTTGACATGTTTGTTTGTGCTGTAAACACAGTTAGCTTTAACTTCAAGCTAACAGAGGCCGAGGGTCAAACTAACCTGGAGGTTATAAAACCTGCTGGCAGCGACGAAACCCTCCAGACTCGTGTTTTCCGGGTTGGTCCCGTTAGTCCCGGACCCTCCGTGTGTCGGTGGCTGATTAAACGTAGTTTTTAAACCCTAAATCACGTGTTTAATGCGGATCTTCTGCAGCTATCTGCTCATCTGAGCTCCCTACGAACAGAACGACGTCCAGCTGGAGCCGCTACGTCAGGACGTACAGCCTGCTGCTCCCACGTCATGACGTAGAAAGCCCGCCGAAGATCGTCTATGTTCAAGAAGATGCTTCTTTTTGCAAATGTCATTTTGCTATCAAGAAAGAACTGGAGCTAAATACATAAGACAATAACTTCACCTGTGCTCCGAATTATTGTTTTTACTGAAGTATTAATGTTTATTTCATCACTGTATTAATTTTAGAAAATGTACAAGAGGATGCAAATAACAAGTAAGAACAGCAAAATATTAAAACTACATTTTTTAACATGCTAACAATCAAACGGTTGAAAAGGAACTCTGATCTAGTAAAAGTAATAATACCTCAGTGTCGAAATACTCCGATATTTGAGTAGTTTCTCTCCACAACTGGAATTTAATCTCCATGTAATACTCTTTTATTGTCTGTAAGAGAACATTTTGTTATTGTTTTGTTTCATACAACCACCCACCACTTGGGGGCGTAGCGCCGCTGTCAATTAAGCCACAGGTTATTATAATGAGGGGGGGTCACTTGAGTCAGCTGTTGCTGAGTTAGCAGGAGCAAACCGTTTTTGACCCTGCCACATTTAATGAATATAAATGATATGATTTATTTGGTTTATGTAGAGGAAATGGATAACGACAGAGAAAGTGGTTGGCCTCTGTTTACGTGAGAAATAAAATGCCTATATTGGAAACTGGACTTCGTTATTTATAGCAGGAGTCAGAACAAACAATCAGCAACCGTGATGACTTTTTTGATAAGCAACGGGGTCACTACATTGTCCTTAATTCTCTTTTATTGTTCTTGATTCTCTTTTTATTTCCTCTCACAGGATCTATGATAAAATAAACAATGTGTTTAAATTAATAGTATTTTGAAACAAAGTGCATCTAAATGACTGGGTCAAAACTTTCAGACTAAATGTGAATTTAACATTTATGTTTTATTGTAATTCTCAAACTTTTGTAAATTTAACAAACACAAAAATACGTTGTCTAATTCTTTCTCTAAAGATTATAGTTTTATGAAGACAATCACAACAATCACAAGTGGTATTTGTTTTCTCTATACTTGTTTGTATGATTCATATTGCACTACTAATGTATTAGAATTAGTTTTGTACTTACTTTACTACATTATCACTTATTTATTGACTTTATAAACTGGAATGATGCCTATTTGTACTATAATGCAGCATGAAGATGTTTTTGGTTCACAGAAGCATAGACAGAGGGAGACCTCACAGTCAATAATTCATGCAGTCACCATCTTAGTTTTTGGCCGACGCCATCTTGGTTTTTATCCATCGCCATCTTGGTTCATGGCCGTGGCCATCTTGGTTTTTGGCTGTTGCCATCTTGGGTTATGCTGACGCCATCTTGTTTTTTTGCAACCATAAGTGATGCTAGTTGGTGGAGCTAAGTACAACCAGACACTGAATAAGACATTTTTAGGCAACCAAAAAGTAACAATTACCTTCGATGAAGGTAAAACACACTAAAGGGTTAAAGTTTTAAGACGAAAATACTGACAACCCGACATCGCTGTGGTGTTGTACTGTCAATCACAAGGTAGCCCTGCCCTAAAGCATACTCTGCTTTATGGTCTATTTTACTTTTGGCTTCACTTTAGAACTGGAGGTTGACGCCACTAAATAAAAAAATAGTGTGTCCAAAGAGATAGATAATATTGTTTATATACACAAAATTATGTTAAAGGATAGTACATTTATTGTGCATATGTATTCTCTTAACTATCTAGTCCTTCGACCTCTCAAAGCGCTTTTTATTACACATCATCATTCACACATTCTTCAGGATCAGCCCTAGAACACCTGGACATGAGGATCTTATGATTAGAGGACAACTCGCTCTAAGAGTCTGAGGAGTTCTGATCATATGATGTAGGTCAGACCTGATCAAATCCTGTTGGTTGTTTTAAACACCAGCTAATCTGTCCCTTTAACAGAGGTCACAGGTCGGGTCAGGGTTAGGATATAAGAAGACACAAACTCCAACAAACCTAAGATGAAAACTTTATTCATTTGAGTCAAACAGAAAAAAACTAGTACAGGAGCCAATGAAAACCTTCTGGGGATGTTTATGTATCAAAGAACATTTTATGTTTACGTTACCAAGAATCACTGATAGATTTATCAGATACATTTTGTATTAACTGAGGATGTACTGATGATCTCAGGTAGATCTGTGGTTCATCACCAGTAGATCTTCAAAAGATCTCAAGCAGATCTCTGGTGAATCCCCAACAGATCTCCCATGGATCCACAGTAGATATCTGGAGAATCCCCAACATATCTCCCATGGATCCGCAGTAGATCTCTGGTGAATCCCCAACAGATCTCTAGTGGATCTCCAGTAGATCTGTAGTAGAACTGTGGTGGATTCCCAGTAGATAAGCCGTGGATTCTGAGTAGATCTCGGGAGGATCTGTAGTAGATCTCGAGGGGATTCCCAGTAGATCTCTAGTGAATCTCCACTGGATCTGTTGTAGATCTTGATGAGGTGAACTGCCTCAGGGCAGAGTCTCTCTGCGGACTTCGCTCAGGGTGAGATCGCCGTAGATATTGACTTGTTTAATATTTTTCAGGTCACTGATCCGGTATTGGTACGACAGCAGGTGAGAGTTGTTGACGGCGACCTTAAACTCTCTGGTGGAGCACATGATCTTCATCTGCAACAACAAACCACAAACTCATCATCATCAACCTGCATTGTCAGAGACTGGCACTTTAAATACACGTTATGGTGCATTCAGGGACCCTCCGACACCTCAGCCTCATCATTAGAAGACAAAGAAAAATCTAACAAGGACTCAGTATTAATAATAAAACCTAAACTAGGAGTATTTTAATATAACTTAAATATCTGACCTCGAATGGCTGTCCTTGGGTGAAGGGGAAATGCCCTGAGCATTCTCTTTCCTCTTTTCCCCACTTTTTGCCAATATAGGAGTTCCTGACGATCACCTCTCTGCCATTTTCATTGAAGCGAGGGTTGAAGTGGAAGGCCAGGTCGTTTGATGGTTTTAACATATCCACTGCGATCCTGAAACACAACCAGATGATTTAGCTGCATTACAGTATGTCACCATTCAGCCATCCATCCATTGTTCATGTTCAACTGTTCATACTGACTTGTTAGCGTTTGGTTTGATGGTTCCAACGATGGTGATGAGCAGTTTGTCATGAACTCCATTAGGCAGAGTGTACGGAGCCGTCTGTCAACAGGATACAGCTGTTAACTCCACCCATCATCATCCATCATCATCCATCCATTCATCATCCATCAACCATCATCATCCATCATCCATCAACCATCAATGATCATCATCCATCAACATCCATCAACCATCATCCATCAACCATCATCCATCCATTCATCATCCATCATCCATCAACCATCATCATCCATCCATTCATCATCCATCAACCATCATCATCCATCATCCATCCATTCATCATCCATCAACCATCATCATCCATCAACCATCAAACATCAACCATCATCCATCCATCATCATCCATCAACCATCATCCTCATCATTCATCTTCCGTCAACCATCATCATCCATCAATCATCCATCATCCATCATCCATCATCCATCTTCCATCATCTATCAACCATCATCCATCATCATCCATCAAACATCCATCAAACATCCACCATCCATCCATCATCCATCATCCATCAACCATCATCCATCATCCATCATCCATCTAGCTTTCTGTCTCACCATAATCTCGGAGGTCGGACCGAATCCATGTCCAGGTCCAGGTCCGGGCTGGCTCGGCTGGCTTGGCTGTCTGGGCCAGGAGGGCTGGCTAGGTTGTCCCGGCTGTCCGGGCCAGGAGGGTTGGCTGGGCTGGCTGGGCTGGCTTGGCTGTCCGGGCCAGGAGGGCTGGCTAGGTTGTCCCTGCTGTCCGGGCCAGGAGGGTTGGCTGGGCTGGCTTGGCTGGTTTGGCTGTCCGGGCCAGGAGGGCTGGCTTGGCTGTCCCGGCTGTCCAGGCCAAGCCCCTCCTCCTCCAGACTGATCTCCAGGCCAGGTGGGGTTAGCAGGTTGTTGTGGGTTGTTTCCAGGCCAGGTACCACCTTGTGGTTGGTTGTTGCCACCAGAGGGCCAACCTCCAAGAGCGTCTTCCAGCTGCAGAAAGAAAGGAAAGAAAAGGAAGTAAGAAACATGACTGGCTGCAGTTCCTCTGACATCCACCAGGTGCTGCTGTGACCAAAGTGAATGAGAGAACAGTTGTAGTTCTCTACTAATACTGAGTCAGTAGTGTTTTAGAGCGCCACATACTTCCTGTTAGAGGTCAGTCAGGTTCAAAACTCCTTCATTCAGTAAGTAGAGAAGAAGTTCATATAAATCAAATCTAAAGCTGCATTTCCCCTTCACTGTCAGCTAGTAAACAAACTTACCTTACTGTCTAATAGTGCGTTGACGCCAAACGCGGCGCGAATTATTCGCGCGAGTAGATTACATACAAAGTCTATGCACAGACACGATGAGACTGGAGTGACGTGAATTTGCAATCTCGTGGCGCGTTTGGCGCGGCAAGAATTCGAGTCAAACGGCCCAAATGTGTGAGTTGAAATTTTTCAACTTCATCGAAAAAATGGCGTGACGCTGCGGCGCGATAGCCTATCAGCGTTGAGATGTTTCTCCTGTCATCACAGACTTCCTGCCGTTGTTGAATCAGGAAACAAATACTGTAGCCGTCTGTGTTCACCCAGAGCTCTACGATACCTCATATCAATAGAGACCGGACCAAACTATGTGTATACATGTGTGTGTGTAAACCATATGGTACAAATAATGAAAAAGACGGGAAGGGACTGTTGACATTGTGAGTGAATACTAATTATGAGACTTAGTTTATAGTTTGGTTATTGGTCCCTGTTCTCTGGATTTAGAGCTAGCTATACAGTCTATGAGCTAATGCTGCTAGCTACGTTCACTGAGTTTATGTTGGATCATTTTAAACTCAAGCGTGCTCTTGCTAGTTTCTGAAGATCACCAACCTTTATGACACAAAGTGTAAGACAGTTTGCTGAGTCTGAGTGATAAAACAACGCTGTCCCTGAACGCAGCACAGAGTGAGTCAGTGTGTGTGAGGATTACAGGGTGTGTTGGTGACGGACTCATCAGGAATGTTCTGTGGGAAGGTGTTGGTTTAAGAGATGAATGCTACCTTGTTGACATTCATAACCCCCAACCCACACACACACACACTCACACACACTCTGCAAGCACTCAGCTACAGTGTGTGTTTTGTGTCTCTGAAGCTCACTAAACAACCTCAACGACTTCTTACTGCTCAGTGTTCACATTCTTCATATGTATTTACATCTATTTGTATATATGTATATATTTATATATATGAAATGTCTATATGCATTTATATCTATGTGACTGACTGAATATAATAGATAATAGATGTAAACAGCTGGTCGGTAACATTAAAGCACCACAGAAGAAGAAGAGATGAACCAAAGCGCTCCAGTCGAAGGTGTTACGTTCATTTAAATGAGGAAGTTAAATAACAACTTTTGTGATATTTAAGTTCAGCACCAAAAGATGAATTTCTCTCACTGTCTCAGAAGAGAAAGTAAAAGAATGAGTAAGATGAATAAATAAGAACCCATGTGACACGTTGATGAACAATAACATCAAAGATATTAAAATATGAAGATCAGACTCACGTTCATGCTGCTGGTTTGTGACCTGAAACACAAAGAGAACCAGTCAGAGGGTGTGGAGGGCCAGACCTGACACAAACAGGTATTTATACTGTGTGGTATTAGTACTGTTACAGAGTAGTATTTATACTGTGTGGTATTAGTACTGTTACTGTTACAGAGTATTTATGCCATGTGGTATTAGTACTTTTAAACACAAACAGCCTCCAGCAGGAAGTAAACGTCACATGATCCTCAGAACAGAGAAGTTGATTTGAACTTATTCTCACTAAACTCGTCAATAAAAACTTCAAGACAATAAATAAAGTGGAGAAGAAGAAGAAGCAGGAAGTAGAAGTACACTTACCTGAAGTTACCTGAGAGAGCTGCAGACACAAACTGACACTCTGTGAAACATGAGTGTGTTTTAAGTCCTGAGGAGCCTCACCCTGTTTCTACATCCAGACCACACCCACACACACACACACACACACAAACACACACACATAGATACACACACAGATACACAGACACACGTACACACTGGGTGTGTTTGGTAGCGTTGCCATGCAAACTGTATTTTGAGATCAGCTTTTGTTTGATTGAAAACACAAACAACACAAACACAAAGACATAAAGACATAAAGACACAAATACACAAGACACAAAGACACAAAGACATAAAGACAAAGACACAAAGACACAAATACACAAGACATAAAGGCAAAGACACAAAGACATAAAGACACAAAGACATAAAGACACAAAGGCACAAAGGCACAAAGACATGAAGACATGAAGACATAACGACACAAAGACGCAAAGACATAAAGACAAAGACACAAAGACATGAAGACATAACGACACAAAGACAAAGACACAAAGACATAAAGACACAGACACAAATACATAAAGACACACGTAGGAGACAACGGGCTATGACCTCTGAACCCAGAACAAAAAAACAAAAACAAAAAACAGCTGAGTTACTGCACGTGTGTTCTGGGAGGCTATGCTAAACTAACTTAACGGGAAAACAACAGCAGCAAACAAGCTATGAACTCTCCCCGCAGCGTTTAGCTGTTCCTACTAATTCAAACAGGATAAAGCAATCACCACACAATCCACATTCCTCCAGACCATCATTCCTGCTTTGTAAAATAAAACAGCCCAAACAGATTCAATTGTCCGGACAATAACTCCGCGCATGACGGTATGCTTCGTAATTAACGGACAATGCATTTAGTCCAAATCTATATAATTAACACAATGACAAACTCACAAGAACCAGTCACATATATTCATATGACAACAGAGCAACGCATCAATCCAGCAAACCTGCAGCAACACGCATCCTGCTACACACGCAGTTGACTTAAAGACAAACTCCATCCTCCTTTCTTTGTTGACAAAGAGTTTAATCCGGTTAAATCCCAACTCACAAATCTGTTTCTCCTCCTTCAGCCATTGAGTGTTAAAAATACAAAGCTAGGTAAAAAAATAATAATCTACACCAAGCAAAATGCAAAAAATGTCATAATTTCTTCCATATCTTTCAATTTGAACTCTTACTACCCCGACTAAGCTCTGCCAGCTTCCTTAAATTTCGTTTCATGATAGTCACGTGCTTGCCCACTGACCAATCACAGCGCACGCTGCGCCTCACTGCAGAGCTGCACCTGGAAACTGAGCTGCACGTAATGCTGACGTAGTTGTAGGCCAGCTAGCAGGCTCTGACACGTCAAAGAACACGCCCAACATGTCAAACTAAAGATCTGATTGGTTGAACACTATGACAATCAACAATATCGTCCCCATTCACTTAAAGTGCTCATGGATGCACTTGTGAGTCTGCAGGCCTCGGCCTCTCTTCTTACCTAGAGACACAGAGGTGAGATCTGATTGGATAAAAGCTCTACTTAAAATCAGCTGCACTGGAAGCAGAGCAACTGAGGAAGACAGTAGCTGTGCAATGAGAACATAAGATAATGGGAAAATATTTATATAAATTATAATACATGTAGTGTATTTAAGAAACATTATTAAATTCTAAAATATATATAACTTTGTGATTCTGTGTAGGCCAGCAGAGAAGGCCTTGAAGGCCCTGACGGCGCACCACTGTCAGAAACAGATGTCGCTTTACGTGACGCAACTGAGGAAAGGACGTCTCATGTATCTTAAAAAACATTTCCTCGTTTCTTCTCTCCTCGCATGGTTTCCTTGCGTCTCTCCATGCATCCCTGGTGGGAGGGACTAAACCACAAGGAAAGGACACAAGTGAGGGAAATGGGGATGCAATTAAGAGACTTGGGATGTACCCCAAGTCTGCTCCTTCATCTCCTCCAGTCTGACCCTCTGAGTGACCTCTGACCTCCTCCTCCCCCTCTGAGACTCCCTGAGGCCTGATGAGAGAAGAAGAAGGAGAAGAAGAGATGAACACATTAACAATTCTCTCCCAGCAGTCTGAATCTTCCTTTAAACTCCTGCTGGATGTTTCTGTTTGTAGCCTGTTAGCTCTGTAGATGCTAATGTCTGTCTGTCTGTCAGTGTCTCTGTCTGTCTGTCTGTCAGTGTCTCTCTCTGTCTGTCTGTCTGTCTGTGTCTCTCTCTGTCTGTCTGTGTCTCTCTCTGTCTGTCTCTCTCTCTCTGTCTGTATGTGTCTCTCTCTGTCTGTCTGTCTGTGTCTCTCTCTGTCTGTCTGTCTGTGTCTCTCTCTCTCTGTCTGTCTGTGTCTCTCTCTGTCTGTCTGTCTGTGTCTCTCTCTGTCTGTCTGTATGTGTCTCTCTCTGTCTGTCTGTCTGTGTCTCTCTCTGTCTGTCTGTGTCTCTCTCTGTCTGTCTGTATGTGTCTCTCTCTCTCTCTGTCTGTGTCTCTCTCTCTCTGTCTGTCTGTGTCTCTCTCTGTCTGTCTGTCTGTGTCTCTCTTTGTCTGTCTGTCTGTGTCTCTCTCTGTCTGTCTGTGTCTCTGTCTGTCTGTCTGTGTCTCTCTCTGTCTGTCTGTCTGTGTCTCTCTGTCTGTCTGTGTCTCTCTCTCTCTCTGTCTGTCTGTCTCTCTCTCTCTGTCTGTCTGTCTGTGTCTCTCTCTCTCTGTCTGTCTGTCTGTGTCTCTCTCTGTCTGTCTGTCTGTCTCTCTCTGTCTGTCTGTCTGTGTCTCTCTCTCTCTGTCTGTATGTGTCTCTCTCTGTCTGTCTGTCTGTGTCTCTCTGTCTGTGTCTCTCTCTGTCTGTCTGTCTGTCTGTCTCTCTCTCTCTGTCTGTATGTGTCTCTCTCTGTCTGTCTGTCTCTCTGTCTGTAACGCATCAACAACTACTGGACTGTGTCAGTGACAGTGTTGCCAAATTGGCGACTTTCTCGCTAAATCTAGCGACTTTCCAAACCCTCGTGGCGACTTTGTTTGTCAAAAGCTACTAGCGACAAATCTAGCTACTTTTTCTGGTGTTGTTGGAGACTTTTCTGGTGTTTTGACTCTGACGTGAAAGCCCCTCGCGCAGCAGTCCCAGCTGCAGAAAGAGGAGACCCACACTCTCCGTGTCCAGACTGCAAATGAATCGCGCATGCGCAAAGCCGCCGCTGTTCCCGCCTCTCTCCTAGAGCACTTATTACAATTATGCAAATTAGGTGATGACGTCATTTAGTGACTTCTAGCGACTTTTAGGACAGCCAATAGCTACTTTCCTTACTGAGGAGTTGGCAACACTGGTCAGTGAGGCTGTAAAGTGTTTTGTAGCAGCTCGTCAGGAAGAGAGCGGACGCAGCTTTGGAGACGGTTGGCTGGCTAGTTAGCTATTTAGCCCGGTAACGTTACCTTCTCCTGCTCCAGAGCGATGGGGAGTGAGACGGAGTTAGATCCAGCGCTGCTGTTTGGCTAATTTTCTGTGATCAGTGTAGCATTTCATCAAAGAGGAATTAGCAAGCTAGCTAAGTAGCCAGCTCTACGCTAGTTAGCCAGCTAGCTCTTTAACTCCACCATGCTTTCATGCTTCTCTGGTTACATAAAATGATCCAAACCAAGTTGCTACTCATCTGTTGATATCGATGATGTTTCCTTCTTAGGATTTAGCTCAAAGTACTGACGGACACACATTAGCATCACTGGAGTCATGACTGTAGCATGTGGCTAACAGTTAGCTACTCATCAAGCTTTAACAGAGCAGTGTGTGTGTGTGTGTGCGTGCCCTCCAGCCTGTAATGACCTCAGCTAATGAACACACCTTTAACATTTTAACACACACACACATTTTATGATTTATACTGTCGTCATGGAGACGGAGGAGGAAGCTGAGATTCACACATATATATAGTTATTAATCTATCAACACGTGATGATCATTAATTATAGTCCTGGTCTAATTCAGGCTCTGGTGATATTAATGTCATCACTGATGTGTGTGTGTGTCCTTAGAGACACAGCTGTGAGCGATGCTTCGCCTGGCGGCCATGTTGGAAGAGAAGAAGAGTGGGAGGTTTATGTGTTTTGTCAGACAAAGTGGGTGGTGTGTGTGTGTGTGTGATTCATGAACTCTCCTGGTATTTGAAGCTTGGGTTTAAACACAGAGCTGCTTTGACTGAAACACCAGTGGTCGCAAACAGAACCAGACTGTAAACAAACACTTATTATATATAACTATATACTAACCCTATATTTTACATCATTTATGGGTCCTTTTAACATTTCCTGTCTCCCTCCAAACTATCATAGGACCCTGATTCTACTGTCTGACCAAATTACGTGAACTATTGTATTTTTAAAAATATTAGTATGTAATATTCAAGTCATTGTTTAATTTATGTTGTTAGTTTAATAGAAAGATTTATTGGAACAGAAACACAGCGTGTTGTTCTCACCTGTCTGAATGTTCACCTGCAGCTTCTTCTTCTCTACTCGTCAGCTGACTTTAGTTCTTCTTCTTCTCTAGTCAACACCTGTCTTTAGTTATTCTTCTTTACTCATCTGCATACTTTAGTTATTCTTCTTCTCTACTCGTCAGCTGATTTTGTTAAAAGCTTCATGGAAGATGTTTTCAGAAAATAATTCTTCATCTTAATCTTCTATTTCTTCTTCTTCAGATTAGGTGTCCTTATTTTTAGAAGAAGAAAAAGATGAGGAGGAACTGGTTTCTTGTGGTTTCAGTCCTGAAGTTAGTAAATGCGTCAGTGTCCTGCAAGACGACTTTTCTAAACACAAACATTAATTTAAAACAGTCTCTCACACACACACACACACAGAGACACACACAGCAGCTGTGTAGGGCAGAAGGGATTTACTGTATCTGAAGGTGTTGAAGGAGACACGCAAATGGCTGCAGTGTGTGCGTGTCTATGTGTGTAAGTGTGCATGTGTGTGCAAGTGTTTGCGTGTATATGTGTGTGTGTCTATGTGTGTTTGTGTGCATGTGTTTGCGTGTATATGTGTGTGTTAAAGGGCACTCTCAAGGATTTTCTGTTTCCTGTGTAACACTGCAGTGATTTATTCCTCTGTTCCCTCTGAGCTGACAGCCTGATCCATCGTGTGTGTGTGTGTGTGTGTCCCTGCAGAGTCAGTCTGTCGTCGTCTTGCAGCCAAACCTGCAGCTTGGACGGAAAAATCTAAAAAAATGGAAGAATAGTATTTGAGGGCTGCTGCGTTCAGGCTCCTCAGGAAAACAGAAGACTGTCTGAATCTGTTTTCACCGTCTTCTTCTAACGACATCGTGAAAGAAGTTTCTGTCTACAGAATGTTGATCTGTGTATTGTTGGTTTGAGCGTCTCTACTGTATATTTAAAAGATCAATAATCATAATGTTTAACAATCAAACCAGAAGAGAACGACTTGTTTCCTGCAGGTTTCTGTGTGTACGTGTGTACACACAGACACATACACACACACACTGGATCATGTAAAAATAAAGCAATAATAAAAGAGGGGGAGGAGGTGAGGGAGGAGGGGGAGGAGGAGGGGGGGGGGGGGGGGAGACTGAGCAGCAGAGTGAAATGGATGAGGAGGCTGAACAGGGCTCCGAGTGTTGACTGCATGTATATGAATCCCAGGAGAGAACACACACACACACACACACACACAGCGTCAGCACTTCCCTGTGCAGTGAACACATATATCACCCTGTTGTCAGTTTTTTTATGTTTAAAACGTACTGAGTCTGTAATTCAGTTTTATTTTGAAGTCTTCATATTTGTCTTCCTGTTAGTAGAACAAAGGTTTGTTTGTTTGATGACGAGTCAGATTAAATTCTTCAATCTAAAATCCACAAAGTCAAGACTCATATGGGGTGTGTGTGTGTGTGTGTGAACTCTCTCTGAACCATCTCAACATCAACATGAGGATTTGTGATCAAACTAATTACAACCAACAGTCGTCTCTACAAAAACAAAGAGAACCTCACTTACAGAAATGGTTAGTTAGTACCCAGCTTTGTCAGCACTAGAATGTAACTGTTTCTCTGTCTGTGTTGAACTTTACTCGATCTGTCTGTTGTCACCTTTCTGTCTTTCTTTAAATTGCCGGTCGACCGGATGCATGCATGTCTTTTATTGTTGTTTAGCTGTGTCTGAGTGATTTATGTATTTCACATACTCTGTATGCTTTTGTTTTGTGCCTCTGACGTGGATGTTTTTTAGTGTCTAAACAACTGCAGCATAATACTGTTTTTAGTCCATATTTCTATTTTAATATAGTTATTCTCACTTTTTTTCATTGTTTGTCCACGCATTGTTAAGTGTCAATATTGTATAACCTTTTAACTTTAATCTTACATTGTTTTTAGGTTCATTTTGTAACATCTGCCTCTTGGGACTACAGATGAAAAATAGCCTTTTGGCTAACTCTGGCACATTTGCAGAAATGTTTTTATTAATGTGCACTGTCCCGTTCAAATAAACCAATAAATAAATAACCATCAAGACACAAGAGACACAACCAGAGACACAACAAAAAACACAACCAGACACACAACAAGAAACACAACAAGAAACACAACCAGAGACACAACCAGAGATACAACCAGAGATACAACCAGAGACACAACCAGAGATACAACCAGAGACACAAGAAACAC